AATCTCTCCACATCCTCGCCAACATTTGTTATTTTCTGTCTTGTTGAACTTTGCCATTAGTGCTGGGGTGAGATGATATCTCATTGTTGTTTTGATTTGGATCTCTCTGATGGCTAATGATCACGAGCATTTCTTCATATGTTTGTTGGCCACCTGAATATCCTCTCTGGTAAAGTGTCTCTTTATGTCTTCTGCCCATTTTTGAATTGGATTGTTTATATTTTTGTTGTTGAGTTTTCTATAAATGTTAGAGATAAGTCTCTTGTCAGATATGTTGTTGCCGAATATTTTTCACAATCTGTAGTTTCTCTTTTTATTCTTTTGGCAGTGTAGTTATCGATGAGTATGAATTTACTGCTGTCATTTTATGTGCTTTTTTGTGGTGTTACTGATTTCTTTGTTCCATATAATTTTCTGTGCTCTCATTTTGTTTATGAATTGTATTATCATTTCCTTTGTTGCTTTTAGGAGCTCTGGCGGCATAGTGCCCAAGGCATTTGACTGCCAACCAGAAGTCTGGTGGTTTAAACTCACCAGCTACTCCTTGAAAGGAGCAATCTACTTCCATAGTGATACCACCTCAGAAACCCAAGGAGGGGTTGCTATGAGTCGGATCTGACTCGACGTCAGTGAGTTTGGTTTGGTTTTTGAATTTGTTGCTATTGTTTTAGTATTTGCTAAATATTTGTGCTGGTCCTCTTTTGTATTTTGATGTGAAGGTTTATCAATTTTGAGGTTACCCTGTGATTTATAGTTTTCTTCTCAAGTTTGGAACAGTCTGTTCTATCTTGCACTTGTCCTGACTTCCCCACCATCTAGAAGTGCTGTAACGACACAATTTTTTCCCTCTTTTTGGTTTGGAGTTGTCCTTATTTGTCAAGTGATGTCTCTGGTTCCCTGTTTACAATCTTGTAGGATTATTTACTTGTACTCTTGTAGGATTATTTGGATACTTCCATAACTGGGTTGGTTTCTGAGTTATGTCATCATGTGTGCTAATGGTTGGTTGGTGTTTGTTCTCTGTCCAAAAACTCTCTTTGGCATCTCTTTAAGGTTGGTCTGGTTTTGACAAATTCCCTTAATTTCTGCTTATCTGGAAATGTCCTAATTTCACCATCCTATTTGAGGGACAATTTTGCTGGGTATATAATTCTTGGTTGGAAATTTTTCTCTTTCAGGGTTTTCTATATACCATCCCATTGTCTTCTTGCAGAAACCCAAGCTTAGTCTTACTGACTGCCCTTTGTAGGTAACTTTTTGTTTTTCCCAGGCTACCTTCAGGATTCTTTCTCTGTCTTTGGTTTTGGTGAGTTTGATGATATGTCTTGGTGATTTTCTTTTGGGGTCTATTCTGTTTGGGGTTTGTGGGACTTCTTGAATGAATATATTCTCATCTTTAATCATACCAGGGAAATTCTCTTCCAAAAAATCTTTGACAATTTTCTCTGTGGTTTTTTTGTCTCTTCCTGTTCTGGAATTCTGATTACATGTAAGTTATTCCTTTTGATGGTATCATACATGATCCTTAGGCTTTCTTAATTTTCTTTTGATCTTTTTTCTGACTGATCCCTTTCCAAAGAAGTATTGAGGTATTTGTCTTCAATCTTACTAATTCTGTCTTCCATTGACTCAATTCTACTCCTTTGCCTATTCAATGTGTTATCTACTTTGGAAAGTTTAGTATTAACCACTAAAGGTTATTGATTTATGGATTTCTGTCTGTAGATTTTGTATCATTTCTAATTTTTCATTTATGTTGTCATTTTGTTCTTGTGTTGTCTCTCAAAATTGTTCTAGGTTTTCTCTGTGTTTTCCATAATTTTGTCAGTGTTTTCTTTGATCTGTCTCTCAATCCTTTGATGATACCTAAATATAATTCTTTTGAATTCCTTATCTGGGAGTTTCAATGCCATGTCTTCCTCAGGGATGTGTTCTGGGTCTGTATCCTGGTCCCTTGTTTCTCTTGCTTTATCTTGCTTCTTTGTGTGGACTGTGATGTTCTGTTGTCTCTGTGACATTGTGACGTTTTTGTGCTTATATTTAATTGGTGATTGTATGTTGGAGTTATTTGCCCACAATTTTTGTTTTCTTTGGATGTTATCTATGTAAGCAGGGTATTGTGCTCCTCTGTTCACTAGTTGGCAGCATTTATACACTCACCTCCTATCTCCATTCCCATGTTCAGCCTCCCATACGTCCCTGCCATCCTCAGCAAACAGAACCTATTTTTAGGTCCTGTTTTCACTCAGGTTTTTCCACTAATTGGTGCCTAATCCACTTCTGTATACTTCCTTTCAAAGCTCAGGGCTCCAGGATTATCTTCAGTATCTCTGTCAATTGGTTTGTCTTTTCTTTGTGGCAGAGGGTCTATGTAGCTTGTCTGCCTATTCCACCATCTTATCGGAAGTCTCATTACTTTTGTCAATTTGTTCTCTTTATTATTTGTAATATTTATCCACAGAAGAGTTACTTGAACAAAGGAGTCACGTAAGGCATCGAATCTTCAAAAATTATGCTATGTCCTATGAAAGTCACCTTCGACCTCCCAGAAGAAATCCAGAATCCCAATTGATTGTCTTACTTGATAATTTGTTGCCCTGGAAATGTTATAAGGGACAGTATTGCATCCGTAAAAGAGGTAATCATGGGCATAATAGGAGCTCTCATGACGTAGTGCCTAAGGCATTTGACTGCTAACCAGAAGGCTGGTGGTTCAAACCCACCAGCCACTCCTTGGAAGGAAGACTGTGCAGTCTACTTCTGCAGCAGTACTGCTTTGGAAATGCAGGATGGGATCACTATGAGTCTAATTGACTTGCCAGCAATGAGGTTTTTTTTTTTTTTTTTGGATGGGCATAATCTTCCTTTCAAATCAGAAGAGGATCATTGCTATGCCTCTTTTCCCATGTGCATGAGAGAACCTATGACTTCACTGGATTTTTTATTTAACAGGTAATTTGAATATCTGCATTTCAACCTAAAACCAAAATAACCAAACCCACTGCCATAGAGTCATATCCGACTCATAGCAACCCCTCCTTGGTTTCTGAGGCAGTATCACCATGGAAGTAGATTGCCCAACCTTTCTTCCAAGGAGTGGCTGGTGGGTTTGAACCACCAGCCTTCTGGTTAGCAGTCAAATGCCTTAAGTACTATGCTTCCAGAGGTCCTAGGAAGATAAAAATAAGCAGGAGGTAAAGTGAAGAGGTTAAGGCATGAGTGCCTGGGCTCCTCTTGTGCCATTCACTCTGACTTTATAAGTGTTCCAAGACTTCGCTGAGCCTCAGTTTGTTCATCTGTTATAAGTGGGTATAATGATGGGTGGGAGGATTAAAAGAGGTAGCTTATATAATGCAAAAGGAACTCTGGTAGCATAGTGCCTAAGGCACTTGACTGCTAACCAGAAGGCTGGTGGTTCAAACACACCAGCCACTCCTCGGAAGGAAGGTTGGGCAATCCTACTTCTGTAGTGATACCGCCTCGGAAACCCAAGGAGGGGTCTCTATGAGTCGGGGCTGACTCAATGGCACATGGCAACAACAACAACATATAATGCAAAATAATATGTGCACATAGGACATGCTCAGTAAAAACAGGCTGTCTGACTGTGATTCAATAACTCTCAAACCTGCTCCTCTCCCAACATTAAGGACAGTCAGCCTAAAAGGAGAGAGCAGGGAAACACAATGCTTTTTATAAGACTAGGTCTTACAAGAGAGGTCGGGACTTTTTTAATTAGAAGGAAACAGCCATCAGCCATCTATTGACACTTTATCGATCCACTTCAATAGACCTTAACAGCTCCACAACCTACCCTTTCATCAATGAAGCCTCTGGTCAGTAGGCCATGAATTTGGGAGAGTGTGTCCTCCCTAACAGGACAGTGATAGCGTCCCCCGGTAAGTGAGGCCAGCTTTCTCAGGAATTCAACCGCTGCCCTAGTGGGGAGGAATAGAGGCTGTGGTGAGGCCCACTGACCAGGTGGCAACCAGTTCCCCAAGCAAGTTCTCCTGGGGGAGCTTAAGTCTGTTGGGTTTAAGAGAAACTGCTCTGGTAATGAACTCGGATGCTGAGGATCGGTGCCACTGACCGTCGTTTGCATTCGCAAGCCCACCTTCCCAGCCAGCTGCTGCTAAGTGAAGGTGGTCCAAACCATGTTGGTGTGGCCATCTAGCTGGATTCTGCCAAAGAACATGGTCAGCACATTCCAGCCCCCATTCACTTATTACACATTTATCCAGTGCCGACCATGCGTTGGACCAGTAAGGGACAAAGTAAGATCTTATGGGGCTTATGGTTTAGAATGACAGATAAATATGTCTTATTATTTAATAAGTTTAGCAGTATCACCATTTATTATTTAGTAAAATAATGTTAACATTTTTTGAAGGGGCAGAATCTCTCTTATGTAACAAATGTTAGATAATGAAATTTTATTTTATGGAAACAACCATGACAATGCTGCATTTATCTGTCATGTTTTCATCTCTAGCTTGTCCCTAAATATGTGCTCCCAAGAAAAGACCTTAAGGGAGGATGAAACATGACCAGGCACATCGGTGCACATCCTTTGGCTGCTGCAGAAAGTTTGAGTGCGTTCTGTTGATGGGAAGGTTGGGGGTGGAGAGAGGTACTTTGACTTTGGGGTGTAACACCTGGACAGGTCCTCTAGGAAAAAAACACGGCTCCCAACATCTAATTCGTAGGATGTGGGTTCAGTGGAGGTCAGGGTCAGCCGTGAATCCCTGGATTAATTGAGGCAGCCAGACCCACCCCTCAGACAGCCCTCCGTGCTCACCTGTCTGAGCAGTTAAAGGAAACAGTGTGCACTCTCACGTCTCTTTTCTCCTTGAGTTTTTGGACTTCACTGAGGATAAGGCTGCAGCTTGTGTCTGGCTTCCCGTCAGTCAGGAGGTACACGCCTTCCACGCCAGGGAAACTGAAAGCTTTCTGAAACAGCATGGGAGGTCGGTTGGCTCAAGGGCAGAGCTAACGAAAACCCGGTTGCTCCCAAGTCGGCTCCAACTCAGGGTAACCCCACGTGTGTCAGAACAGAACTGCTCCATACAGTTTCCAATGGCCTTTCCTCAAAGGTGCCTCTGAATGGACTCAAACCTACAACCTGTCAGTCAGCAGCCAAGCCTGTGAACCATTTGCACTGCCCAGGGACTCCAGGGGCTAATCCATCCACTGCCATTGAGTCGATTCTGACTCACAGCGACCACCATTGCATTTCCAAGGCTGTAAATCTTTATGGAAATAGATTGCCTCATCTTCCTCTCATGGAGCAACTGGTGACTTTGAACCACTGACCTTCTGGTTAGCAGCCAAATGCCTTACCCACTATACCACCAGAGCTCCTTAGGGGCTAATCCGAAGGGCAAAAATCTCGGCCTGTTTCCTAGCTGGTTAGCCCCAAGTAAGTCACTTAACTTCTCTGAACCTCTGTGTCTCCATCTATAAAGTGGCAAATACAAGAATCCTTTTTTCATTAGGCTGTGAGGAAGATGAAGTGAGGGTGAAAAACACTTTATAATGCTAAAGTGCTTTGTAAATTCTTTAGCATCATGCATATGGCAGGTGACCTTGTTAATATCAGCACAGGGGATTGGGCTTAGTGGTAGAACTTGCCAGTAATGCTTGCAAGACTGAGGTGCTCCCTTGAGCTTCCAGGTGGGTCACCCATTGCATAGCCCTGTGACACGCTGCATCGGTGGTCGCCACCAGAGTGTCCTGCCATGGCTGTAGGCCTTCTGCAAAGCTGATCAGGTTAAAACTGGGCAGAGGGGAAGAGGAGGTGGGAGCAGAGATGGAGAGAAAGCAAGTGGTTAGAACAGGTCGGCCTATATTGAATCTGGGTGAAGTAATCTCAGTGAAGAACCCCCAGGGAGAGGGCGGTGGACCCTCTCAGAATGAGAAGCTCTCACACTGAAGATTCTGGATGTAGACAGAAAAAGATGTAAAGCCCAACTCAGTCACTTACTAGTTAGTGATCTTGGGTGAATCACTTAGCTCCTTTAGATCCTAGCTTAAACTTTAACATCTTTAAATCCTAGTCTCTTTATCTGGAAAATGGGGATAGCAAAACCTCATAGGGTTGTTTAGAGGACTAAATCAAATCGAGTGAAAGGGCTTGACACATGGAAAATACTCGGCACGTGCTTATTGTTGTTCGCTGCCACTGAGTCCATTCCAACTCCTAACAGTCCCAAGTGACGCAGCACAACTGCCACACGGAGTTTTCTTGGATGTAAATCTTTATGGAAGCAGATCACTAGGTCCTCTTCCTGTGGAGCCACTGGAGGGTTCCAGCCACCAACCTCTCAGTCAGCAGCTAAGGGCTTAGGCATTTGCTCCACTCAAAAAACAAACAAACTCACTGCCATCGGGTCAATTTCTGACTCATAGAGACCCCCACTGGGTTTCTGAGATGGTAAACCTTTACGGAA